CGTATTTATTAAAAAAAACGGGTTTAATATTATTTATTAATATAAATATATATATAAAAATAAAAAAAATAAAATATATATTTTAATACGATCGTTTTAATAAACCGTAGCTTATTAAAAATATAAAATCATATTAACAATAATTATAAAAATATAATTATAAATAAATAATTATTATTAAAATAAAAGAAAAGGGCGTTTAATTTTTATAATAATATATTAAAGCTGAATATACTTAATATAATTACGGGCTAAGCTTTAATTCCTTAATATATTTTTTATATCGGAAGCTTATATTACTAACTAAAAGCGCTATTAAAACCATTAGCCGCCGGGTTAATATTAAAGCTTACAATATTTATATTATTATTTAAAAATAACTCTTAAATTCCGTATTTACCTAATAAGATATTTATAATACTAAAGCCTTTATAAATAAAAAGAAATTAAATAGCTATTTGTTAATAATCGTTTTAATAAAGCTTTTTAACAAGCAAAAAGTACCTTATATTATAAAATAAGTTAATAACGAGCCTAACCGGCTTATTAATTTAATATAAATATTTTTATTTTATTTTTTAATATAGAGGCGCTTCCCGGAGGTAATTAGTTTTAATAATATATATAATACGAATCGTTTTAAACTTCCGCTATTTTAAATTATTAACTAAATATATACAGTATTCAGCCTTATCGATAACGAGAGGTTAAAAAGGTTCCGGTTCTTTACGGAAAGTATTTATTAATTAGTTAATTAATATTTAATTCGCTTATTAAATATTATTATTATCGATTATAATAAATAAATAAAAGCCGCCTTAGCTTATAAGTTCGCCGACGTATAGTAATAGCTTTATATTTATTATATTAATTTTAATATTATATTTAAAGCTAAATAGAAATAAATAAAAAGAAAACGGCTAAAAGGTACCGGTAATAGCTCGGATTACGAAAACGATATTAAACCTTTAAAAATATTAATAATAGAATTAAATAATAAAGACTAAGCGTATATTTATATGCCTATTAACAATTTAATTTTTTATATATATTATAGAGTTTTTATAATATAAAAGCTCGTTATTTTTATTAAAACCGAGGTTATTTTTAAAAAAATATAAAATAGTTTTTATAAAGAGTTCGATAATTCATAATTAATATTACGTTATTTTTATAAGATATATTTTCTTATTAAAGCTTAATAAGCTCGCTATTATATTTAAAAATATTAAAATTTTAATATTCGTATTATTTTAAAGACCGAGTTTAATAATAATAATATTAAAAGTTATCTTTTTAATAGCCTAAGTTATTTATATTAATTCGTTAATATTATATAGGATATAATTTAAAATTAAAAGTTATGGTTTATATAGTTTTATATAAAAGATAAAATATTAATTATTTATTAATACGTTAAAATTAGTTTAAAATATCTAAATAAATTCCGAAGTATATTTTTTTTAAAATATTTAAGATTAATTATAAAGTAATACCGGATAGTAAAGATAATATTACCGATCGGTAATTATTTATAGCCCCTTCCTATTAAAAATTATATAAATAATTGTTTTATTTTAATATAATTAAATATTCCTTATTATTATATAATCTATATAAAGCTTATAGCCGGGATATTTTTTATAAAATAAGACGTTTATTTTTATTAAAAATTAAAGGAAACGTCCTGAAGAGACCTATATCGTCGGATTTTAGATCTTAAGATTATTATATCCTTTTATAATAGGCCGAGGAACTTAATATAGCCTATCCTTAGTTAATTAACTATACGGGAGGATAATAGTCTAAAGGCTTAATATAAAAAAACGCTATTAATAGTTTTTAAAATAACTCGGCGAAGCCGTCCATTAAGAAGCTATAATAAAACGATTATTATAAAACTTATATAAAAAAAAAAGTAATAAAAAAATAGCTAATTTATAATTTTATTATAATTTTAAATTAAAAGTTAATTTAATAAATTTAATATAAAGAAATTTATAAGAATACGAGCTAATAAACGGGTATTATAAGCGAGTATTTAAAAAAAGAGGTATAAATAGGAAATATTAATTAATAATAGTAACGAAGTCGTCCTTTAACGGACGCGATTATTTAAATAAAGCTTTAATAGGATTTAATATTAATCCGCTATTTATTATATATTATAATGAAAAGATATAAAAAGCGTAAAAGCTAAAAATAAATATAATATAATTTAATATAAAATAATTTAAATAAATACGTTAAAATAAGAAAATGTTAATAAGGGAGCTTTTACCGTTTTTAAAACGAAGTATTTATAGTCTATATATTTTTTTAGGCTAATAATAGTGTGTAGTTATTATACTTGTGTATGAGTTATGCCCGTGTATTAATTATTTATGCCCGTGTATTAATTCCTTTTATAAAATATTTTTAAATAAAATATATAAAAATAAAATATTTTTTATTAATTTTATTATTTTAAGACTACTTTTATAACGAAATTTAAAACGTTAGTTTTAATTTTAAATAGTTTTTTTAAATATAGGATTATAATTATTAATTTTTGAAATAACTAAATTCTTAACTTTATTAAAAACTTTTTCATATTTTTTATTTTAAATAAAAGTTATATCTTTTTTTATTAAATTATTAAAAGGTTTAATAATATTATTATAATTTTTGAAAAATCGTTGATAAAAGTTAATAATTTTAAAAATAATTCTATATTTTTAACGTTAGTAAGTATTAATTAATTTTTAATTATTATTAATTTAAATATTTATATATAAATTTATCCTAACGTAATTGTATGGCTAAAAAAATTTACTTTTTATATATATAACTCGTATTTATTAAACTTAATAAAGAGCTTTACGTTTTAAATTTTCTAAAATATTATATAAATATATTTATTATACGTTTTAAAATTAAAAAAGAAATAAAAGTATTATTAAAATAAATAATTATAAAAATATTAATATTCTTTTTAAATACGTAATTAAGTATTATTTAAAATATAATAAGTATATTAATAAATCCGAAAAATATAACTAAATATTTATAAAGTTATTTATAAGTTTAAAGTACCGTTTTTTATTTATTTTCTTTTTTAATTTTAATTTAGTTAAATACTTTTTTAAAGTTTATTATAATAAATTATTAAGCTCCGTATAATATTTCCTTAAATTCTATAATAAAGAATAATAAATAATAATTTTCTTTAATAATTCTATTAAGTCTTTTATAATTAATTATAAATTTAAACTTTTTTTTACTTTTTTTAAATAGGAAAAAGATTAATATTCCTATTTAAAAGGATAATAATTTGATGTAACCCTTTTTAAATCTATCGTTAATATACTCATTAAGTTCGTTATATTTAAATTAATTTATAAAATATAATAAATAAAACTTAAATTATATCTTTTTTTTAATTCGATCTTTATATTTTAATTATTATATTTTAATAGTTTTATTTTTTTTTAAAACGAAAAGTTTTAAATAAATCCGGTATTTTTTAAATATAATTTGAAATAAATTTAATTTTTAATCGTCCGTATTAAATACGAATATTTTAATAAATATTATCGCTTTAATAAAAACGATATATTTAATTTAATTTTCTTTATTATATATTATATAAAACTTATTTAAACCTTTTTTCCTAAGTCGTTTAATAATTAAATCTATTTATTAAAATTAACCGGTTTTCTAATCTATTTATAAATTATATTTTCGTAATTATAAAATTCTTGAAATAACGTCAATATTTTTAATTTCTATAATATTACATTATAATTATTTTAGTTAATTATTAATATATATTATAAAATATATAGTCTCCCGGTTAATATATCCGTTATTACATTTAAACTTTTTTTTTATTATTTATAAAATATATAATATTATATTTTATACTTAACGTATATACATAGCGAGTCGCCCATTATAGCGAGTCGCTTACTTCTAAATACCCTCTTACTATTTATATAAGTTAATTAAGCTATATCGTACGAAATTAATTAAAACTACTTATTAGCCTCTTTTTTAAAGGTTTTTTAAACTATTTAATATATTTATATATTATATTTAATTTTTTTATAATTACTATATTATCGCCTGCGCGATTTAACCCTTTTTATATAAATACTTTTTTAATATATATTTTCGTTTTTAATATTAATAACCCTTTTTTTTATTTAAATTACCTCGGCCTTAATAATATTAAATAAGCTTTTAAAATATAATTATGTTTTTTTAGCCCTTCGACGTTTATTTAATATTTTATTTATTATACGAAGCCCACGGTATTTAGCTTTAATAAAAGCTAATTTATATATTAACTTATTAATATTTTTAATTTATAAATTAATAACTTTATATAAATATATTAATAAATTATATTAATAATTATAAATCCGTTTTTTAAATAAAATAGAGCTTTATACGGCATTATATATTATAATTAATGTTTTTAAGTCCTAAAAACCTTAGTTATTTAAACATAAGTTAAATAATATTAGCGTTTTTAATTTAAAATTTAAATAAAAAATAACTATTTTTAAATTAAAAAATATAATTTTAACTTATTTAAAATTAACTCGTACGTTTTTTTTACTTATTAAAATAAAAAAAGCTATTTTAAAAGTAAAAAAGAAATCGTTTTTAATAATATATATAATTTATATTTATATTATCTTTTCGATTTCTTTATTATATAAAGCTTTTAATAAACTAAAATAATTAATATTAAAAAGCTAAAATTCGTATAATAAATAAGGAAGTATATAAAAAACGATAATATTACGCTCTTTATAATAATTATCGAATTTAATTAATTTATATTTATTATAGCTATTAAGGACTAAAAACCGTTTAATATTTTTTATATAAAACTTTATATATTTTTTAAAATATTTTAATTAATCTAGGCCGCTTTTATTTATAATCTATTTATTTTCATTAAAATAAATACGCTATTTAAAAAAGAATTAATTATTAATATATTATAAAAAGAAATAATATTTACTTTTTATAATAATATACGGAGACAACGCTTAGCTATCCGTATATATACTCTAAATAATAAAAACTTATTTTTAATTATTAAATTATTTCGTACAAAGCCTTTTATAATAATTAAAAATTATAATAACTTTTACGTACGAAAATATTCTTATTAAAAATCCCGTCTTATTAAAATTATAAATATTATAATTATATATTCCGTATTTTATAATCGTATTTTATATAAAAATAAACTAGGTTTAAATAATTATAAGATCCTTAATTAATACCTTTTAATAATTAATTTTATATTAAAAACGTATTTTTAATTATAATTAACGTTATATAAAATTCTTTATTTATTGTAATTCGATATACGTTACGTCGCGTTTATTAAAAACATAATTAATTATATTTTATATGTTATTAAATTATAATAAAAATCTTTAATTAATTAAATTAATAAGTCGTTTAAAAATTACGGTTTTTTTAAAAAAAGTTATTTTTTTTTAAATTTTTATAAATTTTATATTAAAATAATAAGTTAATATATCAATTATAAAGTAGTATTTTTAAAATATTATAAATAAAAGCTACTTTTTGTATAAATAAATTTAAGTTTTTTTTAATAATTTAAAATATAAAGATAATACGATTTTTATTTAAAAAAGAATTTATAATTATATATAAAGAAAAATAGTTATTAAAATAAAAAATATAAAAAGAAAGAAAAGTAGGCGACTCGCTATAATAGGCGACTCGCTATGTATGTACGTTATAATAAATTATATTTATTTACTACTTTTAATAAAATAAAAGTTCCTTAAGCGCCGCTATTAATAATAACGTTTATATCGTATTTATTTATTTAAAAATTAACTTATAAATATTCCTTATTAAGGAATATTATAAAATATAAAAACTTATTTATTTTAGCCGCTTTTTAATATTTTTTTATGAATAATATATTTAATTTTTTGATATTTCGAAGGTTAATACTCGTCCTTTTTTAATAAGCCGTTCATAATTAATTACTAAATCGGGTCGTTTTTATTTTTTAATACGTAAATATAATATATTAATAATATCGCAAATACGGTTTATTTCTTTATTAAAAAGTTCTCTCCCCTTAAAAAATAATTTATAATTCCTAAATACTTTAATATTAAATTATGTATTTGAGATATATTAGTTATATAAGTAGTTCTCTAGGTTCTTAATAAGTTAATTTAGTTCTTTTTAAAAACTCTTAGATTTTTACTATTCTAATTATTTATCTAAATCGGTTTCTTTTTTAATAATAAAGTCGTTAATATTATATAATATTTTATAATTATTCTCTAACTAAGCTTATTATTAAATAACGTCGCAAGGTTTATTTAAATTATAGAACAATTATTAACTTATAAATTATTTATAATTTAATATATAAACGTCGTTTAAAAAGGGGTTATAATCTAGTCTTTTAATATTAAATTCTAAAAATAAATTATCGATAATTTCTTTACTTAAGTTTTTTAACTTTATAATTTTTTTAAATATAAAAAAGTTTTATTTCAAACAGAGTATACTATCCTTCGTTATTATTTTAAATTACTTTTTTATACATTATTATAAAATAATGAAGACTATTTTTATTATTAAATATTAATAAATATAAGCGTTTACCGTATATTAAGCCTTACTTAGTTCTTTAATACGTTATTAATAACGTTTTTTTAATATCTAAAGTCTGTAAATTAAATTTATTATTTTTATTTTTTTATCGATCTCATTCTTTAATTAAAAAAGGTTTTCTTTCTTTTTAACTTTCAATTGTTTTTAAAATTATTATTAAAATAAGGCGAGTATTACTTTAGTAGCTAATTTTTTTTTTTTTATAATTAACCGGCCTTATAATAGTTAATTAAAATACGGATATAGTTTTCGTTATAATCCTTTATTGTTAAAAAATACTATTCGTAATATTAAATTATTTTATTAGTTACTTATTATATTATACGAATAAATCTAAATAAAATATATATTTCTCGAGTTAAGATCTTATTTTTTAACTAAAATAGGTTTTTTTTTATTTTTAGCTACTATCTTTTTTTTAATTTACTTTCTATTATTATAAAAGTTTATATTTGTATAGGGTAGCTAGTCGGTTATATTTTAATTATTTTATATATTATTAATAGTGTTTAGATGTATTCTTTATTATATTTTTCAATAGTATTAAAGCGTTAAATTACCTTTTACTTATTTATCATAATAAGGGTTTTATTAAAGGGTTTTTTAAAATATTTTCTTAATTATTCCTTATTATTTTAATAAATAAAGTAATTATTATTGTAATATACGGTTTAAGAAAATAATTTATAAAATACTTCTTTGAAAATAATATTAACTTATTTCTTAAAAATAGATTATTATTAAATTCGCTTAGGCTATTTATAATCCTTAATTATATATCCTAATTTTTTATAATCATAATATTTAAATTCTTTTTTTTAAAAAAGTTAGTCTCGCTTTATTATATTAAGGTTTATAGGTCCGTTATATTATTTATAAACGGTAGTTTATTAAAAATTATTATTTTTATTATAATAGTATTTTTAATTAAAGTTATGTTAAAGTTATTATTAATATTTACGTCTTAAGTTAAGTTCTTATTATCGTTTTTTTTTTCTTATAAAAGCGGTTATCGATCTTAATTATGAGTTTAATGTATTAAAAAAAATCGTTTAGTTTATTAATTTTAATAAGTTCGTCTTTCATTTTATCTTTTAATCCTTAATAAAATATAAAAACTTTAATATTATTAATAAGATTAAATTAAACATTAAAGTATCTAAACTAAACTAAATAGTTTTTCACTAACTTAATTTAGTAAATTTATAATATATCGTTCTCGACTTATTATTTTTTATTTAAATTTTAAAATTATAATATAATTATTTTTATATTTCTTTTTAATTTAAATATATAATTTTATTATTATAATTTTAAAATATATAAAATATATATATATATAGTATTTGAAAAACTTTAAAATATAAATTTTATAATAAATTAAAAAAATATAAATTTTATATATAAAAAGTCGACTTTTTAAAATATATTATTATATTTAAAGAAATTTATATAGAATAATTTAAAATAAAAGTAATTTAAAATAAAAACTTTTTAATAAATTTATATAAAAAATACGCTATTTATTTAAAAAAAAAAGATATTAAAAATTATTTAATAAAACTTAAAACGTCGGTTTTAATTATTATAATTTTAAATTTTTAAAAGTTATTTAAAATTAAAACCGACGTTTTAAATTTTATTATAAGACTATTTTAAGAAAATAAAATAATTAAAAACGATTTTATTTTTATATTTTTATTTAAAAACTTCTTATATAAATAAATTAAATTATTATATTTATAATAAAAAATTTAAAATTATTATTAAAAGATATAAAAGATAATAACTTTAGTTTTAAAACTTTAATTAAAAATAAAAATTTATATAAATTATAAAAACTTTAAATATTTTATTATATTAAAAACTTTCAATAAATAATAAATTAAATAGTTAAAATTCTTATTTAAGTAAAAGTTTTAATTAATATATTATAAAAAATTTAATAATAATAAAATAAACATTTTTAATTAAAAACTTAATAATAAAATCGAAATATTAAAAAAAATATAAATTGTTTTTAAAATAAACGATAATAAAAATTTAATATTAATTATTCAGTTTTTTATAATAATTAAAAAAATTAATATTAACCTAATTAAAATTCTTTTTTAAAATAATTAAAAAAGTATATAATAAGTTTGTTAAACGGACTAGGGGGATATGTATACAGATCCCGGTAATAAGTTAGTAATTACAAAAGTAATTCTATTTTATAATAATCTTTTTAAATTTATATAATAAGGAAAGCGTTTTAAAATATATCCTCGTACGCAACTAAAGCTAGTTATGTATAAGAATATTTACGTAACTAAATAGAGGTTTAGTTATTTTTAATATACCAAACGTTTAGTCTTAGTTATTATTATTTTAATATTAAAAACCTTTTTTTTTATAATTAAACGTACGGTATCTTTTGGGTTAATAACTAAATTTAACTAATTATGGTTTTATAAAGTTAGTTAATAACTAAATAAATAAGCTATTATACGATAATAATTACTTATTTTTTAAAATAATAAATAAAATTCCTACCCCCTTAATTTAAATAAATATAATAATAATCCGTTATATAATTAAATAAAAACAAAATAGTCATTTATTAACTAATAGATAAGTCGATATTAAGATTAAATTTATTAATAAATTATATATACGATTATCGTATTAGTTTATTTAATTTAAAGTAGCGATAATAAATTATCCGTACGGACCTTTTATACTGATTTATTTAAGTATTCGTATAAGAGGGTACATAAAAGTAGCCTTTGCCCCCTTTTTAGCTTTTTATTTTCTTACTTTTATATTAATTCTATAAATAACCTAAATAATAAGACTTTTTTTATTATATATTAATAATAATTTTCTATATTAACTTCGTATAAGTTAATATGTCTCTTATTTTTATTAATTAGCTCGTTCTTAGTAATTAAAAAACTTAGTTTATTACCTTAATAAAGGCTTTTAAAGTTTATATAGATTTTTAAAATATTCGTTATATTACTTTATTTATTAAATTTAATCCGAATTATAACTTTATAATCTCTTTTTTATAATTAATATTTATATAATCTTTTCCTAATTCTTTTTCAATTTATATTAATATTTTTTTAAAATTAAAAACAATAAATTACTTAAATACCCTCGCGCGATATTTAAATACGTTTTTTTATTAATAAAAATCTTTATTTCTTAATTATTTATATTATCCGTTATAAAAGTTATTTTAAACTATTTTAGTTTAGTCCCGTGGCTCTGTTATATAAAGTTATATTTAGAAATATTAATAATTTAATATTCGGTTTTATAAATACGTATAAGTCTATAATTATTAAAAAGGAGCTTATATTAAATACGTTTAATAGCCTTATAATATTTATTATAAGTATATTAGTCGTAATTCGTATAAAAATAATAATAATAATAATAATAGCGGTCTTAATAAAGGTCGTTTTAATAAAGATCGGTTTAATAAAAGTCGGTTTAGTAAAGGTCATTT